TCCTCTTCTGATTCAACTCCCTGCTCAGGGCCTGGGAAAGCAGAGGAAGATGGCCCAAGTCCTTAGGCCCCTGCACCCACATGAGAGACCTGACTGAAGCTCCTGGTTCCTGGCTCCTGACCCATGTAACCATTTAGAGAATGAACTGGCAGATGGAAGATTCTCTCTGTATCTCTCCCCCTTACCCCAACCCAGAAACTCTTTCAAAATAAATAAAATAAATCTGTTTTTTTTTTTTAAGTTTCTTTGCTAACAACAAACAAAAAACCCACTGATGACAAATGTAGGAAAATAATATTTGGCCCAAACAGCACCTTAATGTAGAAGATTAGGAGGGTGGGTCTGCCAAGGAAACTGGGGAGCAAATCAAAATTAGGATTAAGGATTCATTGGTTACAACGCCTCTCTGATGATGTGAGTCAGGAGAGAAATCCGGGTCTGAATTAGGGTAAAAACACACATTTAGATGAATATACAACAATTAACCCTAGCAATCTCTTTTGGATGGGAAGAAATGTAGACTGTTATTTAAATTTTTTTTATTTACTTATTTTCATTTAATTTGAAAGAGATAGAGAAGGAGAGACAGAGAGAGAGAGAGAGAGATTTCCAACAGCTGGTTCACTCCCCAAATGCCCAAAATAGCCAGCGCTGGGCCAGGCCAAAGCCAGGAGCCTGGAACTCCTCATGGGGTGGCAAGAACCAGAGGACTTGGGCCATCATCTGCTGCATCCTAAGGGCGGCATTAGCAGGAAGCTGGATCAGAAAGGGTAGCCAGGACTCAATACAGGCTGCAGGTGGTCCACGTGGGTATCTAACCACTGCGCCATACGCCTGCCTCTGCCTCCCATCTTGTAAGTGTCAGTTTAGGTTCTCTGCAAACCATAGTGCGCTCTCGCCATACCAAAAGCAGCTTGCATCACCCTCAGGGATGCCAAATCGAACCCGAAGACTCTTTTGTCTGTTAGTTTCCATTCAAACTTCCATACCTGGTCCTCAGACAGAAATTTTACAGGATCAGGCAGATAAAGTCCCTGTGGATTTCAGGGAGTATGTAGACCGCTGCCTCTCAGTTGTGTCCATGTCTGCTTTCCTAATGAGTGTCCTTTGGATGGTCCTCACATTCCACAGAGGTTTTCCTTCAACTGGGAAATGTTTACTTTCCTTTCCGAAGGTCTTTTCTCTGGCCCATTCACTTGTCATTTCTCCTCCATGCATCCAGCATGGGCTGTAGTGTCACTCTGTGCACCGGGCAGCAGGTACAGCCTCTGCTCCCACAGCACCCACAGAGCTGTTCCCCCACTCCCCCCAGAGGGGCTAAGCTCTGCCTTCTTCATGGGTCAGCAGATCCTCAGAGGTCTGCCACCCACACCTCGCTCAGCACTTTGCATTTCTCTTGTCACTGTAGCCCTTCTAGAAGGTGTTTCTATTCCGGATGGCTTTTGGTCACTGGGAAAAGCAGCCCCAAACCTTACACAAACACCATTACTCTGCTCTACTTTCTTGGCAATGGTGTGATGTCTGGAGATGCCCGGCAGGGAGGTGTTGATTGCTCTCACCCAAGATAACTTCAAGAGAAAAAGAGGCGGGTATGGCTGGGGCTGCTGCTAGGTAAATTTTAACGACTCAGAAGATTTTTCTAGGAAACACACTCCCCCAACTATTATATCTCCAGGAAGTCACTTCAAACTTTTTTAAAAGTATAGAAAGGAGTACCTAGGGGGAAAAAAAAAAAACCAGAAAGCTAAGAAATATCAAAACTGATGTGTGCCTAGGCATAAAGGTAAGAGTTTTCCAGAAAGTGACTGCTCTGCCAACACAAAGCCAAGGTCCAGAGAAAAAGAGACCGGGAGAGGCAGGGGTGGAATGTCCACCCACGTTCGAGATCCTGGGCTCTGAATCTGCAAGAGCCGTGAGGGCCGCCTCCTTTTCTTCAGACTCCGCGAGCACAACTATTAAAAATCAATGTAGGCCGTCGCCGTGGCTCACTAGGCTAATCCTCCACCTTGCGGCACCAGCACACCGGGTGCTAGTCCCGGTCGGGGCGCCGGATTCTGTCCCGGTTGCCCCTCTTCCAGGCCAGCTCTCTGCTGTGGCCAGGGAGTGCAGTAGAGGATGGCCCTGCACCCCATGGGAGACCAGGATAAGTACCTGGCTCCTGCCATCGGATCAGCGCGGTGCACCGGCTGCAGCACGCTGGCTGCAGTGCGCCGGCTGCGGCGGCCATTGGAGGGTGAACCAACGGCAAAAGGAAGACCTTTCTCTCTGTCTCTCTCTCTCACTGTCCACTCTGCCTGTCAAAAAAAAAAAAAAAAATCAATGCCTAGCAGAGGAGATATGACACATCTGCCTTAGAGACAGCCCCACACCCCAAGCAGAGCATGCGAGAGCTGTACGGGAACCTGACTGATAGTGTTAGTATATGGAAGAATGTGTCCATCTGCAAGGGGATTTGGTGCAGACTCCAAGAGAAGACCAGTGGGCAGAGGGGCCACCTGGCCTTCAGAGTGGCTGCCCCACACCCGGGCACAGAGTAGGAGAGCACCATGCAACCCCCTGAACGGAACTAGACTTCCTACTTCACCTTCCTGTGGGGATCAAGTCCACTGAGTCTTAGTCCATTGGGGCTATTTCTCCACTTTTTCAAAATGAGTTACCACATTGGCATTCTGGTGCTCAGCTTTCGGTGTCTTGTGAGTTTGCATAACATGACTTAACGCTTTTAAATTCCATGAACTCTGGGACAGTCAGGACCGGTTTTAGATCTGTAAGGCTGGGGACCCCAGCCAACCTTGTCCATATTACCACGTGCTTCACTCTAACCTCATCCAGAATCACCATGAACCAATACCGCACGGCTGCTGGGTCCTCACACTTTGTTCATTAAATCTTCATGATGTCGAGGGAAGAACTGAAGCCACAAAGGACCTACAGGGCGGCCTCTCTGAAGTTAATCTATCACTGGGGTCCAACAAAAACATCAGGAGTATGCATTCTGCTGTAAATCCTCAACAGATAAATGCCACTGTTCTCAGGTTGGGCTTGGATTTCCGATGCCAGGCCAAGTTCAAAGCCTTCAGCGCTATTCTGGATCTGAGGAACAAGCCTGTGGTTCCAAGCCTCTCTGCATCTGTTTGAAAACTCAGCTCCCATGTTGAAGATGACTATTTGCTTTACTCAAATTCTGACCCGCAAAGAACTGGCCTATAGAGTTGGCCAATAATAATACAAACAGTAGCACCAGCATCTCTTATTACTATGTGGAATACCGCACTTGCTTCTATCATCTTAGAGAGAAGGTTACTGAAGCATAATCGACAAATAAAAATTGTGTGTACTCATATTCAAAGGATGTAATGTGCTGGTTTGCTAAGTGTGCACATCATACAATTATTTCCACAATCAAATTAATCAACACATCCACCACCATGGTTAGGCCCATGTTGGGTAGGGGCGTAGGACACTTCATAGCTCCTTGCATAGCAAATTTCAGGCCAGCCATCCAGCACAGTCACGTTAGATCCCTAGAACTCTTATAACTAAAACTTTATACCCTTTTGCCAACATTGCCCCATCTTTCCCACCCGCCCCAAGGCCATCGCTCTTCTACTTTCTGCTTTGCTGAGCTTGAGATTTTTAGACTCTGCCATATAAGTAAGATCATATGGTATTTTTCTGTGCTTGACATTTTTTACTTATGTCCTCCAAGTTCATCCACAAATGTGCAAACAGCAGAATTCCCTTCTTTTTCATTTTCTTGATTCATCACCCCACCCAGCTCATTTCCATTGGCAGAAAGTAGGTATTTCAATCCGCCGTTAAAGACGAGGAAATGGAATCAGCCCTGCAACTGAGACCCAGGTCTGCTCCGGCTCTGGCACCTTTCCCGTGAGCCACTCTGCATCGCTGCCCCGGAGAAGCAGCCACAGCCCCGCACTCTGGGGAGAGCCTGGAGAGCCTGGAGTGCCGGGAGAGGCAGTGGACCACACCCAGGGCTGGCTTTCCACGGTTGGGAAAGGCCACTGCTCCCTGCACGCTTCTGAGCAATGAACGAAGACTGAGATGTGCTGTGGTGGGAGACGGCTTACTTTCCACAGCTTGAAAATGGGACGGAGGTGGGCTGGGGTCCCAGCCAACCAGAACATTCTCAGGTACTGTAATATTAGTTGAAATGTGAGGCAGCCAAAACCTGATTAATGAAGAAATATCTACACCCACAAAAAGTGTGGGTCTAGGGCATCGCAGGTGGAGCCAAGGACGCTCAGGTGGCGTGATGAAATACAACCCGGCAATCTAGACCATTCTGGCTTTTCCACTTATCAGCCCTGCATCTTCGGTGAATTACTTAACCTGTTGCCTAAAAAAATGGGGATAGTAATAGGCACCTCCTGGAGTTCCTGGGTAGATGAAATGAGCTAACACAGGTAAAACAGTGCTTGGTTGCAATAGGAATCCAAAAATAATTCAATTCCCTTCCCCTTTCCATACACAATTCTCTGCCAAGAGATGGTTCCTGGGAGTACAGACAATTCTTCCTTTAAGGCATTAAAATCACGCACAAAGTAAACCTCTTGTAGCCACCACCATTGAGAGCAGAAAGCCAAACAAAAGGAATTGGCCTGTGTTGAAGAGTCCAGTGATGTAGGTGCGGCTCATGGAATGTGCCCTCCAGCTCCAAGCCCAGAGCTGTCTGAGCTCCTGGAGACAAAGTTCTTAGAACTCTGACTACACCTGAGACGAAGCTCACTTTCCTTCAAGCCCAGAAATTGAGGAACTCAGCGCAGCCAGCGCTGACTTGCCAAACCCTGCCACAAACGCGAGCTGAGTCTGAAATGTTCACCCAGCTTCCTCCTCACGTCCCGGAAGATGGGCAGAAGATGAAAAGGAAAACATAAAAAGATCTAAGGACCCACACACGCTGCCCCCAAGCTGAGTCTCTTCCCTGGAGGTGGGTCAGGAGAGGGAGGGGGGGAGGGGTCACAGCAACAGGTGGAACCTACCTGCGCACCACCAGCCTCAGGGTCTTGAAGGATCCTTTCACCAGGGACACGGCCTCCCTTCTGGAGCTGCTCAGCGCAACCTCATTGATGTGCACGACTTCGTCCCCGGCCCGCAGTCTTGAGCTGAGCGAGTCGGCTTTGCCCCCTTCTTCGATCTGCAGAGAGAGAGGTGAGAGCCACGGTGAACGTCTCCTGGCCTGGGGTCTGTGTGCCTGGACTCCCGCAGGGCCCGACCAACCGGCTTGGACCACACCCCCAGCTGCCTCCAACCACGCCCTCCCACAGAGGGCCAACTGGACACTTGGCTGCATGGAAGAATGAACTCAGTTTCCGTCCTGGGGTGACATCTCCCAGCCCCTTCCATCTGCGACCCCCAAGTCCACTCGGAACAATAGTTTTCTCTTTAGAAGTTGAATTCTTCATTATATTTTTTGGTTTAAAGTTGTAATTCATTGGATAAGCAAAGAGGTACAATCAGACAATGGAGTATTACTCAGTACTAAAAGAAAGGGGGCCACCAAGCCATGCCAGGACATGGGAGAGCCTTAAATGCATATTGATAAGTGAAAGCGGCTAATCTGAAAAGGCTTGCTACTGTGTGATTCTAAGTACATGACATTCTGGAAAAGGCAAAACACCAGGGACAGCGAAAACTTCAGCGGTTGCCAGGGACTGGAGGAGTGGGAGAAGTGGCGAGTGGAGCACAGAGGACTTTGGGTCAACATAAGGATGGGCGCGCGTCAGAATCTACAGCATCTGTGACACCAAGAGTGAACCCCAATGTCACCTATGACTATGAGTGATAACGAGGTATCATTGGAGGTTCATCACTTGTAACCACTGTGCGTATCTGGTATGGGGTTTTGATTGGGGGTAGGCTGTGCGTACGTAGGGCAGAGGCCACAGTGGGTATTGTTACACTTTCCACTCATTTTTATCACGAATCTAAAACAACTCTAGAAAAGAAAGTCCAGGGGCTGGTGCTGTGGCATAGTAGGCTAAGCCTCTGCCTGCAGCACCAGCATCCCATATGGGTGCCAATTAGAGTCCCGGCTGCTCCACTTCCGATCCAGCTTTCTGCTATGGCCTGGGAAAGCAGTAGAGGATGGCCCAAGTCCAAGTCCTTGGAACCCTGCATCTGCGTGGGAGACCTGGAAGAAACTCCTGGCTCCTGGCTTTGGATCAGCTCAGCTCTGGCCATTGTGGATACTTGGTTAGTGAACCAGCAGATGGAAGACTTCTCTCTCTCTCTCTCTCTCTCTCTGCCTCTCTGCCTCTCTGTAACTCTGCCTTTCAAATAAATTAATTAACTCATTTTTTTAAAAAAAGAAAGAAAGTCCAGGGGTAGGCATTTGGCATCCGAGGTTGGAGTGCCTTGGTTCAGTTTCTAGCTCTGTTAGGATAACTGGGTACCTATGAGCCTACGTGTGTGTGTGTGTGTGTGTGTGTGCATAGCAGAAGAAAAATGGGAATTTCTGTATGGTGGAACAAGGAAGCAAGCCTTGGAAGCAAACCTGCACTTATATATCCAAGTGTTGCCATTGTTCAGTAACCTAGTTGGGTGGGAATCTCCTCTGCCTTCCACCAAGGAGGCTATTTTGAAATTCTGGGAGGAATTCCACACCAAGAAAAAACCCTTACCCAGCAATATTCCAGAAAGGGTATAGGGGAGGAGAAAGAGGGCCCACTCTCAACATCCACAGAAACTCCAATCTGAATGCAGACTGGGCTCTTGGTTCTTTACTAAGACGCCCACCTAGTCTGTCAGGTGTACTCTTCGTTAAACTTTGCTAGCACACATGTCTGAATGCAGACTGGGCTCTTGGTTCTTTACTAAGACGCCCACCTAGTCTGTCAGGTGTACTCTTCGTTAAACTTTGCTAGCACACATGTCGCTACTCTCTGTCTCCTGTCTGAATTCTTTCTTGTGCAAACAACTTGAGCAACCTGTCCCCAGGAACCGCCCCACTCCCTAGTCCAGCTTCCTGCTAACGCACAACCTGCAAAGCAGCAGATGAATGTTCCAGAGGTTGGGTCTCTGCCGCCCATGGCATTGAGCTCTTTGCCCCTGGCTTCAGCATGGCTCCCTCTGGACCACTGCAAGCACTCGGAGAATGAGCCAGCAGGTGAGAGATCTCTCTGTCTCTTTCTCTGATTTTTGTGTAAATAAAATACAATTTAAAAACATCACAATCTGGTCAGTAACGTTATTCAACTCCCGCTTTATGCCAGTAATTGTTCCAAGTACTTGGGTTATAATGGAGGACAAAACAGACCGAAACCTTTTCTGTTCTGCCGTTGAGGTTGATGGGCAGAGGAGGGGAAGCCCATGGTTAACAGGATAAACCGGCTCATGATGCAGCAGGTGAGTGCAGAGCTGGCCATGGGCTTTGGAAAACAACAGAGGACAATAATGCTTCCTGGGGTGCCACGAGCCAAAGATGCTGGCGGGAGGTCAATACCAGGGACAAGGGAAAAATGAAACAAAACCAAAATGACTGTGTAAACAAAGCCTGACCCCTATGTTCTCTTTTTTCAGTAAGTTTTCTCCAGAACTGCCTACATATTCAAAAACTTTCAATAGGTCTTCAGGGACATAAAATAGAGTTAAACACATACCTGTAATTGTAACATGTATAAAACAGCTCTTAGTTTACCAATAAAAATGTTACAGCCTAGCTTTAAGTATTAACATAAACTAAAGTCAGTATTTTATCCATTTATTACTACTACTTATTACTAAGTTATCATACATTTATTTTTTTAAGTTTTGAAATCCATGCATAGATTTTTTAATGTGTTTCTTTTCTTAAAGATTTATTTATTCATTTGAAAGGCAGAGGTACTGAGAGGCAGAGGCATAGAGAGAGAGAGAGACAGAGAGAAAGGTCTTCTATCCGCTGGCTCACTCCCCAAATGCCCGCAATGGTCGGAGCTGGACCAATCCCAAGCCAGGAGCCAGGAGCCAGGAGCTTCTTCCAGGTCTCCCATGTGGGTGCAGGGGCTCAAGGGCCATCTTCTATTGCTTTCCCAGGCCATAGCAGACAGCTGGATCAGAAGTGGAGCAGCCGGGACTCGAACCAGTGCCCATATGGGATGCTGGCAGCGGCTTTACCCGTTACGCCACCACGCCGTCCCCCTATCATACATTTTATGAACCTATTATAAACGATGAAAGTAGTATCGAAACTGTGGAAAGGGAAAGTGAGTCTCCCCACTGCTTCCTCTCAAAAGATAACAGCTGTTCAGCTTATGAACTTTGTACATATATGAATATAGATTTCATTACACAAGAACACTGCACATCACCCACCTTCTCAGATGTCTGCTGGCATTTAACAGAGACGTATTATGGGGAGTTGGGAGCTGCCATTTGGCCTAGCTTTTATAGAGTGCCTGGGTTTGAGCCCTGGTTCTGCTCCGGATTTCAGCTTCATGCTAACGCACACCCTGAGAGGCAGCAGAAGGCTCCCATAGGCTGGCACCTGCTGCCCACGGGGGACACTTGGATTGAGTCTCCTGCTCCTTGGCTTTGGTCTAGCTGGCTCCAGCTGCTGTTGGTATCTGTGGAGTGAACTGGCAGATGGGAGATCTTTGTCTGTCCCTGAATCAACACTTTTCTTGAAGTGCAGGAGATAAGAGTTTGAGAAGTCAAGCAGATAACTAAATAAGAGGAAACTACCTATAAATTCTTCCTAAGCCTCAGGCTCCTCACTTACAGCAAAAGGGACGGAGTGACAGCACCGGCTTGGTAGACCTTGCAGTGAGGATTGGTGAGATGAGCCACACGAACTCGTAAACACAGTTCCTTGCTTATGGTAAAATCTCAAAAGTGGTAGCTATTGTTTTTATAAGTCTTATATCATGAGGATATTTCCATTCATAAAATGACCCATGAAATCTTGGTTATTTGCTACGCAGTATTCTATAGAACAAATGTAATCTGGTGTATTTAACCATCCTGCTTTGAAGGTCATTTCCTCCTATTCTCTACCCAGGTCATCCTATTAAACTTTCCCACCAGCCTTGTGTCAATTCACTATTTCCCACACACACTGAGCCCACCGCACCTCCAGGCCTTCCCTCTGCCTGCATTTCTCCCCATGCTCGGCCATACGCTTGAGTCACCTAAAGAACTGCAATATACCATGGTGGCCGAGGGTGGGCACGCTGCAGCCGGCCCATGCAGCCCTGCCTTTTGCTAGCTCTGCGACTTTGCACAGCTCATTAGATCTTGCTGTGCCTCACTTTCCTCTCCCATAAAACAATCATACTCACCAAAGAGACTGGTGTGAGGCTTCAGTAGTTTCTGCAAGTAAAGTACTTAACACAGTCATATGGAATGCGTTCAATGAACACCAGTTATAATTACTACCCATCTTTTGAGGTCAAGTTCAAATCAGATCTCCTCCAAGGCTTTCCAGGCCTCTCATCAATATGCACTCTACATCGTCACTTCTGTAATCTGTCCTTTAAGAAGTAATCCATCTTTCCCTCATCTTCAGAGAATCAAATGAATAAAATAATACACACACTGTAAAGTGACGTCTAAATCATTTATCATTTTTCTGCTCCTTTCTCACTCTGCTGTGGTTATCAGCTCTTGTCATTCAGCAAAGCTATTCGTGTCTAAATCTGTTCCTTGCCCACTGTCCCTCCATCGCCAGCTTGGACTGTGAACTCCTAGAAGATAGGAAACAGGACTCCATCTGTACTCACCCCTGCATGCCTCCCCAGACCTTTGCACACAGCCGACCTCAGAAGGCAGAGCTGGTGCATCGTTCAAAAACATTTTCTGAGCATCGTTCTACAGTGTACCAGGGATGGAGCTAATAGCTGGAGGTATCACGGTGAACACCACGATAAATCCGGTCCCACACAAGTTGCAGTTTGCGGAATTCCACCCCCTCTGTGTTATTTGCCAATGATTTCAATAACATGAGATGTAAGAGGTGATCAGTTTCTCATAAAAGAGAAAAGCAAATTCGTTGTATGTTTTACATCATATCCTTCTCATAACTGATGTAATGGGAATGCAAACATTATGAGGAAGACTGTCAGCGTTTCGTGTTGTTCACGGTTTTCATAAACTATTCCTCTGTATTTACAGAGGTTGTCACACGTTCTTCAATTTGCATGCAACTTTTAGGTTTGA